CCCAGCCTCTCCAGAGCCGCTCCGCCGGGCGCAGACGAGCCCCGCGAGACTTCAACGTGGGGCCCCGGTGCCCGACCTGGCACTCCAGCTCTCGTTCCATCGCTGCGTTGGCCCTCCGTGTCCGAGAAATACTCGGCGGCCAGAGGGCAGGCGTCGACAAGCTTGGCGGGGGCGGCCCTAGGCGCGGGCAGCGTCAACTCGCCTGCGCCGTCTGAGCACGTCGCGCCCTTCGGCAGCACGCGGCGGCCCTTCGAGTCCACGCCCGGAGACCTGGCAACCCCCTCGCCCTGGCATGGCGCGGCATGGCCAGCGAGGGCGCGCTCCGAAGCCGCGCCCAGGTCCATCTCCACGTCGCGGACGCGGTCCTGCCTGGAGGCCCGCGAGTCCGAAAGCTCCACGGCCGTAAGGAGCAAGGTCGAACGCCCCCGCAGAGCCGCAGGCCCCGACCCACCCACCGACCCAACAGCTCCGCCGGAGAAAAAGAGAAAAAGAGAGAGAGAGTGTGTGTGTGTGTGTGCGTGCGTGCGTGCGTGCGTGCGTGCGTGCGTGCGTGCGTGCGTGCGTGCGTGCGTGCGTGCGTGCGTGCGTGCGTGCGTGCGTGCGTGCGTGCGTGCGTGCGTGCGTGCGTGCGTGCGTGCGTGCGTGCGTGCGTGCGTGCGTGCGTGCGTGCGTGCGTGCGTGCGTGCGTGCGTGCGTGCGTGCGTGCGTGCGTGCGTGCGTGCGTGCGTGCGTGCGTGCGTGCGTGCGTGCGTGCGTGCGTGCGTGCGTGCGTGCGTGCGTGCGTGCGTGCGTGCGTGCGTGCGTGCGTGCGTGCGTGTGTGCGTGTGTGCGTGTGTGCGTGTGCGTGTGCGTGTGCGTGTGCGTGTGCGCGTGCGTGTGCGTGTGCGTGTGCGTGTGCGTGTGCGTGTGCGTGGCGTGTGCGTGTGCGTGCGTGTGCGTGTGTGCGTGTGCGTGTGCGTGTGCGTGTGTAGCGCGTGCGCGTGCGCGTGCGTGTGCGTGTGCGTGTGCGCGTGTGCGTGCGCGTGCGTGCGCGTGCGCGTGCGCGTGCGCGTGCGCGTGCGTGTGCGTGTGCGTGTGCGTGTGCGTGTGCGTGTGCGTGTGCGTGTGCGTGTGCGTGTGCGTGTGCGTGTGCGTGTGCGTGTGCGTGTGCGTGTGCGTGTGCGTGTGCGTGTGCGTGTGCGTGTGCGTGTGCGTGTGCGTGTGCGTGTGTGCGTGTGCGTGTGCGTGTGCGTGTGCGTGTGCGTGTGCGTGTGCGTGTGCGTGTGCGTGTGCGTGTGCGTGTGCGTGTGCGTGTGCGTGTGCGTGTGCGTGTGCGTGTGCGTGTGCGTGTGCGTGTGCGTGTGCGTGTGCGTGTGCGTGTGCGTGTGCGTGTGCGTGTGCGTGTGCGTGTGCGTGTGCGTGTGCGTGTGCGTGTGCGTGTGCGTGTGCGTGTGCGTGTGCGTGTGCGTGTGCGTGTGCGTGTGCGTGTGCGTGTGCGTGTGCGTGTGCGTGTGCGTGTGTGTGTGTGTGTGTGTGTGTGTGCCCGTGCGTGCAGGACGCGGACGAGCCGGTCGGTCAGGGTCGTCATCTTCTTGATGATGGCATTGGGGGCGGACTCCATGCGCCCGGCCACCGCGCCCCGGGGAAGCGGCGGCAGATCCGGCAGGAGATCGCGGTCGCGAGGGCGAGCCTCTGGCGGCGAAACTATGCCAGCATTCGCCGAGGCCAGAGCGGCACTGCAGGAGGAAAGGATGGGGCTGCGCGCCGCCAAGGATTCTTCAGCGAGCGCAGTGTCCAGAGAGGCCGAGGCCACGAGCCGCTCCGCCAGGGGCGCCGAGCACGGGTCGCGCCTGCAATCGCAGATTCTTCCCAGGCAGACGGGACGCCAGCGCGCCAACACCCGCGCCCCGCGCCAGGGGAGCTCAGCCTCAGCGAAAACCTTCACGTGGAAAATTGCTAATCCCCCTCTTCCTGGGCGCCCTCGGCCCCAGCCATCGCAAGGCACTTCTGAAACAGCGCCTTCTGCTGCAGCCGCGCGGCCAGGTCCTTCTCGGCGCCGGGTAGGGATTCCTCGCCATCCATGATCGAGGGCCAGTCGGGCTCGTTCGCCAGGTCTCAGCGCACCCTTGACTTCCATTTGTGGGCTGAGGCGCCCTGAGGCATCTTCAAGTCCGCGATGTTGTCGACGTTTTTGCAGGCCCGCTTCGCCGCGTAGACCCGTGCGCGCAGGATCTCGCAGCCCGCCATCGCGATGAAATCGGGCGAGGCTTCCGGCGTGCGACCGAGCGCCATGCAATGCAGCATCAGTTCGTGGCCGATGCGATTATTGTACAGTTCCTTCTGCTTCACCATGTCGGTCGCGAACTTGTTCATGCCCCCATACTTCCCGTAGGTCTGCGCCAGGAGCTCGGGCGCGACCCGCGCCGTCAACCCAGGCGGCAGCTCGAAGGAGGGGGCAGCCTTCTGCTTCGTGGGGCTCTCCATCCGGCGAACGCGGGGACCCTTCGAGGACTCGCGCAGGGGGCCAAGATTGACTCCCGACTCCCACAGCACATTCGGATCGAGGTTGATCGTCGGCGCCTCGGAAGACCCCGCTTTAGCTGCCGCCGAGCTTTGGTCGCCGATCGCGCGGCGGCTCAGAGAGTGGCGGTCCGCCTGGGTTGTCTTCTCGAGCTGCAGCCGATCCATCATGCGGTCAACGTGCGTGCTCGTGTCGGAGGGGGGCGGGATGCGCCCCCAGCTCCCGGCGGTCGAATCTGGGCCCCATGCCGACGAGTCTGACCGACGGGGGCTGCCTCATCCAGAGTCGCGCCGGCGGCGCTCGCGACGGTCGCAGTGCACCTCGTCCAGCAGCTCCTGCATCATCCTCTTCACTTCCGTCACCTCCTTGCTGCCCTACGACTCGGACTCCGAGCCGACGTGCGACCAACCCCCCGTCGCTGTCAATGTCGGCGAAGGCTAGCAGGAAGGAGAGGGCGAGCAGCGGGAGCTCGAGGCGCCCGCCCTGGCACAAGTCGCGCAGGTAGGCCTGGAAGTCGCCCGGCCCCATCAGCAGCTCCAGGCCTGGAAGTGCACGGCGGCCCCAAAGAAGAGCAGGCCGCCCGTCGCGCCCCACGAGGAGGTCGACCACAGGAAGGCAGCCCCACTGTGAAGCCACGCCTAGCCAGAGCCCCAGGAGCGCCAGCGGGCGGCGCCGAACTCCATGCCCAGCTGCTTCTCGGCGCCCGCCTCGAGCGCCGCCGTCTTCTCTTGGTGGGCAGGGCGGGGAAGCGCGCGCGGGCGACGCGGGGCCGCCGCTTCGCCGTGACCCCGTGACCCGAGACCGATATTGGATATCCACCGAGCCGAGAGCACAGTCGGGACGGACGAAGATCCAGCGAGTGTCGCACTTCTGGGGGGGGGGAAGGAAACCTCCTCCACATCCCCATCCCTCGCCCGACTCTCCTCCTCCTCCTCCTCCTCCTCCTCCTCCTCCTCCTTCACCTCCTCCTCCTTCTCCTCCTCCTCCTCTTCCTCCTAATCCTCCTTAAGACGAAGCCAGGGCGAGGATAAATCCGGGCGACCTCGCTCTGGCCTCCGCCCGGGCTCCTGCGCGCGCGACTCCATCGGTGCGCAGCTGACGTCGACAGGCCAACGCACTCGCCGAAGCTGAGGCGGGGGCTCGCGCGCTCGCGGCGCAGGAGCGGGCTGGTCTCTCGGCGGGCTCACGATCGGGGACTCGAGGGCCCACTCGACGAGGCCGGCGTCGCCGAGGATCGAGAAGGCGAGCCCTATGGCGAGGGCGCGGCGCCGCGCGGTTGAGAAGCTCTCGGCGGGCAGCCGCTCCCGGGGCAGCAGCTCGCGTGGCACGGGGCCGGCTGCAGACCCCCGCGAGCGGCTTGGACCACAAAAGGCTTGAGCGACGCGTCGGCGAGGTGAGCGCCGCGCACATCAGCGCGACAAGGCCCCCCACACCACGCCAGAGCACGGACCAATTAAGTTTGGAAGCGGTCACTTTCGCAACAACAGCTTTCTGAAAAATGCGTGCGCTCGCTCTCTTGCGATTTCCGTGGGAACCGTAGGTTTCCAACATGTTCAACGCATTCTCCCAAAACGGGCCTCTCGCGCCGCGTGCCGACATGGTTCGAACGCCCTTGCGCGCGCGCCGGGGGGGGCACGATCCGTTTCAGATAATTCCAGGCGGGTCGCTCACGCGCGTCGGCCGTGCGCGCGTGTCGAACTCTTTCCAAAACCTTCATCGCCGACGCGAGGACGCCGCCGTCGTCGTCGGCGCGATCAGCATCGGCGCCGTCACTGGCCGCGCTGCCGTCGCTGTCAGCATCGCCATCAGCATCGCTACCATCATCGCCGCGTCTACGGTTGTCGGCGTTGCCATGATGCCGCGCCCGCCCAAATCGCCGACTCGACTTGAAGTGCCCGCTGGAATGCGCCCAGCGGTCAGCGCCCAGCAGCCGCGTCGGTCGCGCCAAAGTATCTGGCCGCAGCGCGCGCGCGAATGCGCGGGTTTTCGCGGCCGCAGAGATGCGCCAGCCAGCGCCAAGCACTCATCGCAATCGCCGCCGCGCGTGGTCTGCAAACCAAGTCGCGGGCGGGCGGGAGGGATGTTTAGGCGTGCAGCGGAGCGGACGACTTCAAGTTGAGCGTGGGTGGATTGCGCCACAAAGATTGCACCGAGTAAATTGCATTACATATGTTGCCGCGCGTGAATTCTCACGCTGTCCAATGTGAGACTATACCCCCCCATCCTAAATATGAGTTCGTGCCATTCTGTCCAAAAATCGATGTTTCATCGGATGTGTCCATTGTACAGGTCGGCTACACGTGAGAGTGACCCTTGGCTGGAGTGACCTTTTGGTGCGGGCTTTCGGTTCCCCCCCGACTGCTGAGCGCGATGCGATAGCCGCTGCTTGCGCGCTTGGCGTTGGCCACCGCGCGCCCCCCTTAGTCCGCGCACCCGAGCGCCCCTCCAACCTGGGGGTCACTCTTGCGTGTCGCCGAACAGGCCGACCGGTCCTCCCCAGGTCGGGCAGATCGCCTTCCACGGCGAGACGGACTGCAGCGGGGTGGACTTCGGGCGGGCCGTGCGGCTCGAGGTCCCGCGCCGGCCGTGCAGTCTGCAGCCGAAGACCTTGCTCTCGTTTTCTGTCTCTCTCTGTTGGGCTTGGGGGTCGCTGAGCCTTCCTCCTCCTCCTTCCGCCTGGGGCAGCCGGTCCTGGATAGGAGAAGAAGGGACACCGCCGCGCCCGGACTTGGAGAGTTCGGCGAGAGAGAGTTGATTTCCTCTGTTCAGATGCACGAACGAGTGCGATCGCTCCCCCAGCTGGCGAGGTGCTCCTCTTCGTCCTCCTCCTCCTTCTCCTCCTCCTTTTCCTTCTCCTTCCCCTCTCCTTGCCCCCTCGACTTCCCTCACGATCCCCCTCCTACCCCTCATCATCCTCCTCCTCCCCCTTGTCATCCCTCCTACCCATCATCTGTTGCGAAAAATCACGACAGGAGCCCTTGACCCCGTCTCTCTGCGCCGTTGCCCGAGCCGGACCGACCTGTGACGGCTCTTGGGCCCGAAACCAAGCGACAACGCCCGTCTGGAAAAAGAACGCAACGCTAGGACGCCCCCATTCCCCCTCCTCGTCCTCGTCCCACCCCCTCCTCGTCCTCCTCCTCCTCCTCCTCCTCCTCCTCCTCCTCCTCCTCCTCGTCCTCATCCTCCTCTCCATGGGAGCACAAGGCCCCGCGGCCCTCAAGGCGGGAGAGGACCCAGGGAGGCAGGAACATGGCCTCGCTTGGGCAGAACGACGGCTTCCGCGCTCAGGACAGGAGCAGTGAAGGGCGGGTGCACAAGGCCGCGCAGTCCTCAAAAGAGTATTGCCGCCAGGACAGGAGCAGGGTCTCTGGCGGTAGAGGGTGCGGCGACCTCACGGCCGCGCGGCGCCCAAGGTTGAGACGGCTGCCGCGCACAGGGGCAGGATCCAGTTGGAGGGGCGTCCGTGGCCCTCGGACGGCACGCTCAGTGCTGAACGAAATCCGAGGAACAAATCTCCTCCTCCTCCTCCTCTTCCTCCTCCCCCTCCTCCTCCTCCTCCTCCCCCTCCTCCTCCTCGTCCGCTCCGTTGGAGCGTCTTCACGGATCACACGGTGGGCATCCTGGAGGCTTTTCGCCAGCTCGACCTCGTCGTGCTTGGGCTGCCAGGCGCACGCCTCGCCGAAGGGATCGTCATCCCAGGACATCCTGACATTGGCATCGAAGCGCGGGCTGGCCCCTCGTATGCCATCGTCGCTGTTATATGGGACAGGGTTCGTCTCCCTTCGGTAAGCAAGCTTACACATGTTGGGTCAAATCGCCAGTTGTGGTTGGCTGCGCTCACTCGTTTATCTCCAGCTGTACGGGGAACCACCTGAGCCAGGAGCTTGGGGGGGTCCGACGGACAGGCGGGAGCCTACAGGAAAACAAGAGACACCGACGATCACAATCGAGGCAAAGATGCACACGGATCCAATATTTTCCAGCAGAGCGGCAGTGTGGGTCGTCAGACCCCAAAGTACTTCAGAAGCAACAGTGAGGGCATCTCTGATGCCCCAGTGCCGAGAGCCCTCGGTGCATGACCTGCAGGGCCCCTCGCACGAGGGGCGAACATCAAAAAAGCACAAACACTGAGGCTTATCACCCCACCAGGGGGGGGTGGGGCCGAAACTTAAGCGCGCGAGAGAGAGAGGGAGCAAAGGGGACGGCCCAGGAAGGGGGGTACAAGCTAGGCAAAAGTGCGTTTAAGACAACATTATGTATCTCCAGCTGTACGGGGCACCACCTGAGCCAGGAGCTTGGGGGGGTCCGACGGACAGGCGGGAGCCTACAGGAAAACAAGAGACACCGACGATCACAATCGAGGCAAAGATGCACACGGATCCAATATTTTCCAGCAGAGCGGCAGTGTGGGTCGTCAGACCCCAAAGTACTTCAGAAGCAACAGTGAGGGCATCTCTGATGCCCCAGTGCCGAGAGCCCTCGGTGCATGACCTGCAGGGCCCCTCGCACGAGGGGCGAACATCAAAAAAGCACAAACACTGAGGCTTATCACCCCACCAGGGGGGGGGGTGGGGCCGAAACTTAAGCGCGCGAGAGAGAGAGGGAGCAAAGGGGACGGCCCAGGAAGGGGGGTACAAGCTAGACAAAAGTGCGTTTAAGACAACATTATGTATCTCCAGCTGTACGGGGCACCACCTGAGCCAGGAGCTTGGGGGGGTCCGACGGACAGGCGGGAGCCTACAGGAAAACAAGAGACACCGACGATCACAATCGAGGCAAAGATGCACACGGATCCAATATTTTCCAGCAGAGCGGCAGTGTGGGTCGTCAGACCCCAAAGTACTTCAGAAGCAACAGTGAGGGCATCTCTGATGCCCCAGTGCCGAGAGCCCTCGGTGCATGACCTGCAGGGCCCCTCGCACGAGGGGCGAACATCAAAAAAGCACAAACACTGAGGCTTATCACCCCACCAGGGGGGGGGGTGGGGCCGAAACTTAAGCGCGCGAGAGAGAGAGGGAGCAAAGGGGACGGCCCAGGAAGGGGGGTACAAGCTAGACAAAAGTGCGTTTAAGACAACATTATGTATCTCCAGCTGTACGGGGCACCACCTGAGCCAGGAGCTTGGGGGGGTCCGACGGACAGGCGGGAGCCTACAGGAAAACAAGAGACACCGACGATCACAATCGAGGCAAAGATGCACACGGATCCAATATTTTCCAGCAGAGCGGCAGTGTGGGTCGTCAGACCCCAAAGTACTTCAGAAGCAACAGTGAGGGCATCTCTGATGCCCCAGTGCCGAGAGCCCCCGGTGCATGACCTGCAGGGCCCCTCGCGCGAGGGGCGAACATCAAAAACACACACAAACACTGAGGCATATCCCCATAGAGGCCCAAAGCCCCTTGCTGGCCTGCACAGGCCCTAGCACCGCGAGTGCCAGGGCGGGAGGGTGGGGAATACACAGAACCTAACCAATACATCTCAAGTCGAGCCCCCCTTTAAGCTCGGCTCAGGTGTTTACTATACGCTCCCCAGAGGTAAACGCAGGGCCCCGCACAGACCAGCACGAATTACACGAAAACTACCTCGACCCCCAGAGGTAAACGCAGGGCCCCGCACAGACCAGCACGAAGTATACGAAAACTACCTCGGCCCCTTGCGACGGGTCGCGGCTTTCACTCCAGAAGACGGGCGGCCCACCTCGGCCCTCATCGCTTGGCTGGAGATGACGCCCAAATCCACGCCCTCCCCTTTCGGCTGCCAGAGGGCCTCTGCGAGGCGCGCGGCGAAGGGGGGACTTGGCGGCGGGCGAAGACCGTGTAGCAGCAGCCGTAGCCTTCCCAGGTGAGGCCCAGCAAGGTTCACCATCTAAAAGCTGTTGCTGCTGGAGCTCCGCCCGTCGTCGAATTAGTACACGTGTTTTAGCATAACGTTGCAGAGCTAATGCGGTGTCCCACCTTCCGCGTCGTCTGGCATATTCCAGATCCCCATTATTAGCAACATAGTGCGCTGCTCCCGCATGTCGTATCCCATGCGGTGGTCCCATGTGGGAACTGTTCAAAATGTCCAGCGCTCTATTCCACTGCCTGCGAAACTTATCTGTAGTAAGGGGAAACACCTGCTCATCCGAACTCACTCCTTTTTTATCATCTCCTTCAAAATCGCCTTGGCGAGGGTAAACTCAATATGTAATCCCTGTCCTGAACCTGTCTTGACCTTCTCTCCGCGAGCACGGTTGCCCAAAGTGAGGGCCACGTTCCCGCAACTACCAAAACAAATATCACCACGTCTGAGAATGGCCCAGTCTTGTTCACGCAACCATCCATCTAGTTGGACCACTGCCGCACACGCCTCAAATATCGCGCCCATGCGGCACAGCTGCTGCATGATCAAACCCATGGTTTGGAACGGTATGGGTTCACCTTCTTGTATAGTCTGCTGCCTCTCCCAAGCCTTCAAGGCTCGGGCTGACATAGGCAAGAATTTACAATGACCCTCGAAGATGGGCATGACCCATTCATTAGGTACGAGCCTCTTGAAAAGCCCAACTCCCTGACGTAACACATGTCCGATAGATGCGATGCAAGCCCTCGGTCTCTTTCATGAACCGTAGAGAGAGGTCGGCCATTGCGTTTTATATCCACCAAAAACTCTCGTACTGCCTTCTCGTAGCCCCGGTTGGTCACATCGTCCACCGCGTGGATGGTGAGCCGATTGTTATGCCGCAGGTGCTGGCCCTTGGCATTTTCCCAGGCGAGTGCCCCCTTCTTGGCGAGAGGGGGCGGCCTTGACGTTTGGCGAACCCCCATCCACCAGGTGAGAACAAAGGAACCAGATCAGCATCCACCTCGAGGATAACGCAGCCCGTGAAGAACTGCTGCTCGTGTCTGTGGACCAAGCAAACGATGCTTCATCCAGCAAAACTGGCTCGCCGCCGCCACCACTCGCCGTTGCCTGCGCGGGAGCAAGACCACCGTGCAGGTGCCCAGGGCGATGGTCGACGGCCATGGCGACACGAACCAGGCCGCCCAAGGCGGACCTGGATTCGCCTCGATCTTCAAGCAGAACTTCGAACCCACAAACGTCACGCGCCCCGTCGGTCAGGCCGGGACCTCCAACGTCCTCTCCACAACACGAATGGACCTCGCTTGAGCAGCTCCCGTAAAGAAAGCCCGTACTCTCTTCGGCGTGTACCTCCACTTGTGCTCCTCCGTGGTCGCCCCTGCTGCCCCCATTGGTAGCCCACGACCCGGACCATCGGCTATGTTGTCCTCCGAGGCCACCCACCGCAGGACCAGCTTGGTGCTACAACCGAGCGACACCGCGGCTGCCTGTCTCGCAAGATGAAGTAACCCTGCTGCCGACGACCTCCCTTTCACCAAGACCCCCATGGAGACCAGAGAGTCGGCCACATCTTCGTCGATCGTGAAGCGTGTCGGAGTAGCCCCACGATGGTGCGCAACTCGAGGATGTTGGTGTGCTCCTCCTTCTCCCACTTCCCAGAGTAGAGGACAAACCACCTCGCCTCGTCGGTCCACGACCGACCAGCGGCCAGTGCCTGCCACCGAGCCTTCA